GTTCCTGAATATCTATATCCAGGTAGATGCCACCATGGCAGAATTAACCACACTGTTCATTAGTACTTTTCTTTTTGAACTAAAATATTTGTTTACATTTTCTCTGGCTCAGTGTTTTTCTGCAGTCACTGGCAGAGGGGGATAAATGGGGAGAAAACAGTTACCTTCAGTGTCCTGGTTGGTAATCTGTTTGAAATAGAATATGCTGGCAAATGGATGGAGAGAGATATTTCCTTCGTGAGGACATAGCAAGCAAGCAAGCCCTGTTATTGCAACATTCTTTGTACACTCAAATAAAAAGAAACTAAATAATCTGATCTGTTTGTCAGCCACAGCTAGGGATATTGAGCCAAGAATACATGGGTACCTTAGAGATTACTTATTTGAATGGACAGAAACCAGGTGCAAAGGTAATGTGGATCTCAAACCGCTCATAGTGCCAGATCCTCCACACCCAAATTTGATTGGCAGGGAGACATGCAAAATTAGATCCACTGCTCAGCTGGTGCACAGGGATCTTCAGGCTAAAGGGAGATGGCTTGTCTACACCAGGGAGTTTTCCCCACAATTCTAACCATTTAAAAACTAATTGGAGCCATAGGGTTGGGTGGCCTGAACCATTTATATCAGGGGTGGCCAGCCTCTGGCTCTGGAGCCACATGCGGCTCTTCAGAAGTTAATATGCAGCTCCTTGCATAGGCACCAACTCTGGGGCTGAAGCTAACAGTGTGCTGGGGGGTGCTCATGGGTCAACCCCTGGCTCTGCCACAGGCCCTGCCCCCACTCTACCCCACTCCTTCCCGCCCCCTCCCCGAGCCTGCCGTGCCCTCCCTCCTCCCCCGCCCCAGAGCCTCCTGCATGCCACAAAACAGCGGATCGGGAGGTGCGGGGAGGGAAGGGAAGGTGCTGATCAGTGGGGCTGCTGGTGGGCGGAGGCACTGGGAGCGGGGAGCTCATGGGGGGGCTGCTGACATATTACTGTGGCTCTTTGGCAATGTACATTGGTAAATTCTGGCTCCTTCTCAGGCTCAGGTTGGCCACCTGTGATTTATACTCACGTGATTTCAAAACCGCTGATTTTGCTGAATTGGTTTAAGGTGATTTTGAAGCTGATTCAATAAAAACAGTTCAGGCCACCCAAGCCTGGTCTATACTATGGCTCCAGTTTAGCTGAAACAATTTTCAAGCTGGTTAGAAGGGGGAGGGGGAATTTCAGTGTTGTCAGGATGATTTCACATTGTCTTTACAATTACTATAGCCCAGGGCTAAATTTGGCACTTATGCCCAGATTTTTAAAGGCAGTTAGGCATTGCAATTTACTCCCCTCAGCGTTCAAGGGCTAAGTAACTTTGATGGCCAAGTTCCATTTCCAAAAGTGATGAGGTTCAGCTACAATTTTTCCTCATCTAGATTCAATGACAGCCTCAGGTACCAATGGAGAGTCTCCTTTGTATTCTGTTTGATCTATAAGCACATTATTTGTATGCATTTCTGAATGTGTGTTCCTCCTTGACATATTCCTGATTTTAGTCACTGGTCCCTAATGACTGTTCGTTTTAATGTCAGAAGGTCGAGAGGTCACATGGTAAGAAAAGAATTGGCAAGACCTTTTCCAACAAGATCCAGGCTAGTGGGAAGCTAAAACAGGATGTGCTTGGCTTTAGTTGGGGCTGAGAGAAAAAGCTGCTCAGTATTGCAAATAAATGTATATGGGTAAAAGATTTACTCTGTTTGACTAGCAAAAAAAAAAAAAAAACTCTTGCTGCAAACCAGACCTATTTTCTTCAAATAATCTCCCAGGAAACAGCCTGTACCTAGCTAGGATGTGATTACCAGTTGCAGGCCTCAGACCATAGCCATTATTGTTTTAACATTCCTGCCTTCCTCTTTATCCCAGCATGAAGCAGCCTGTGTGGGATGTTGTGTAACTTGACATTGCTTGGAGATAAAAAGGCAGTTTAGCACTCAACAATCACGGAGACAGAAGCAAAAAGACAGTGATTAGAAAATAAAGAAACGAGTGTGCACTGTGCTATGTGGGCAGCTAGTTGAACAGGATTCCCTTCCACAGAACCCAAACAGAAAGTTTGATTTTCCCATATTTTATTTTTAATTTTGTCAGTGCGTGGCAGACACATTTAACATGATGAAGGCATCAGTGAAAGTAGGGCAGCTTCACTGCAATACAGGAGATTTTTTAAATCTGTAGGAGTGATGAGAGTTTTATAAAAGCAATATTGGTGGTGAATCCCAACCAAGATAGGCTACAAACAAATCCTAGAGTTCACCTTTATGTACCAGTGGAAGCCACCCTCTCAGGTCAAGAACAAAGGGTCCCATTGCAAGTGCCTGTCAAGTTTGGAGATTTGTCATCAAGAAAAATAAATATTTACAAGAATGGCCTAAATTAAGAGCAACGCTAGTCACCAACATGAACCCATATCAGCCATTCCAACAAAAGAAAAGAGATAAGTGGGCAATTTTTGCTAAAAGGAGACTGTAGTAGGGTTGAGCCGGGGCTCTACCCTCCGAGATGGAGGGGTGCCACACCGGCTCACTAAATTGCAGACAGTCTAACCTCAGGTCCCTTTACGCAAGGGCTGAGCGGCTCTCAGTTCAGGAGCTCAGGCCCTTAGGTAGGGGCTGAGCGCTAACTAGCCGTTTAAGCAGGCCCAGGCCCTGGATCAGGGCGGGGCAGAAACAGTCACAGCTCAAGCACTTTTGGGACAGGGGTTGAGCAAACAAGCAGGTAAGGAGCCCAGGCCCTGGGTCAGGGCGGGGCACAAACAGTCACAGCTCAAGCCCTTTGGGGCAGAGGTTGAGCAAACAAGCAGGTAAGGGGCCCAGGCTCTACACCTGAGCATTGGGTGAGGGGGAAGCCTGCCACACGTGTGGGGTGGCAGGGGGCACGCAGGCCCACCCACTCCACTGCGTCCCAGCCCGGGGCCCTAGCAGCGGTTACTGTCGCTGCCGGTCAGTGGGGTATCCTGACTGAAACACACTGACATCAGCTCACAGGCCTCTGCAGCCTGACCAGGGTCGGCTACCCCCGGGCTACTTCCTTGTTCCCCCTCGGGGCTTACCTCGGCGGCGATGCCGGGTTCGGGCCAGTCCAGCAGCATCGGCTCTTCGGGTGCAGGGCTTGGGGGCCGGTCAGGCAGCTCTTCCCCAGGATAGCTGGGACGGGGCAGACTTGACTCCTCCTCGGGGCAGCTGGTCCGGGGCAAGCTGGGCCAGTCCTCCTCGGGGTACCTGGTGAGAGGGAGGCTTGACCGGCGCGGGGCGTTAGCAGGCGGCTTGCGGCTGTCTCCCAAGCGGGAGCTCGGCCCGGGACGTCTGCTCTCTCTGGCGGTCTGCTTCTCACTGAGCTCTGCTGGCGGGCTTTTATACTTCCGGGTCGGGGCCGTGACCTCGGAGGGGCGGGCCCCGGACCTGGTGGCTCCGCCCATGCTGGGATTGGAGGAAGCTCGGCCCTGTCGGAGACGGAGGGGTGCCACACCGGCTCACTACTGAGACACAGTGGTCTGGCATTGCTGAAAAATGCTCACTAAATGACATAGCAGTCTTCTAAGTATTGAAAAATGTAACTAAATGGCAAGAAATATTTTGTTATGGCCAATAATGAGTGCTCAAATAACAGATATCAGAACTGGGTATGCTCCATGCAGTTTCTTCCAAAGAGCAAAACAACAAGACAGATGATGCAAGGCCATGAAATCCCAAAGACTAATAGGGGATGTATTTGCTTTTGACAAAGGAGGAAACCTTTTTATTGTTAATTGATTACTACTTTCAACTAATGGATTTCAAAACTAACAAGCAAATGGTATTTCCCCCCATAACAAATCACAAGATGCAAGGCATATAATACCCGAGGTTATAATTGCTGATAACTTCCTGACAAACATTTAATCTCTCGTTGCATCAGGAGGTTTCTTTCTGTAAAATGGGGATATACCACCTCATTTCTCCCACCCTTTGTCTTTCTTGTACCTTTCAAGTATAAACTCTCCAGGCACTGTCTCTTAGTATATGTATATATAGCCCCATCTAATAAAATGGAGCTCGGACATCAGTTGGGGTGTCTAAGTATTACTGCAATATAAAATAATAATAATAATGAAAGGAATTCCAGATAAATCGGTCAGAATTTCACTGGGATTTCCTACCTTGGTCCAGCCCTGACTTTGTATGCCCTTTATCAATAATAAAATGAAGTATCAAGGACCCTTGCTTCATGAAAAATTCATGAGAGGTAGTTTATATCTAATTTTTGTCAGTGGGTGGAGTTTGTGCCCAATCCACTCAAAAGCTAGTGAGGAGATGGTCAGTTAGTGTTTTCCAAAATCCTAGTATCTAATCAGTTTTTCAGTTACTTCTAATATAACTGAGCATTTTACCTCCTGGACACTGATCTAAGTGCAACTATCCCATGCTCACAAATGATAAATAGCAAAAAGTAGATGTTTTATCTGAAAACTGCAGGAAAGACACTAAGGAAAATGGAACCCTACTCACCCTGATTGAGTCCCCCAGTAGACAAGCTACTGTGCCTGCTGATTGTTTTGGATTTCCTCAGTAGACAAGACATAGCCCAGGAAAAGAGAAAGCTCATACAATCAACAGTCCAAGAACTAAGCTTCTTGCACACTGGGCCGGTAGCCAGAGAGACCTGAATTCAATGTGTGGATAGATTGTTTATTTTCCTGAACCACTTCCAAAACATTAGAGCTTCTTGACTAAGACCAAGGTTTAGTTTGCATGGTGTTTTAAAAACACCATAGTCTCCTCAGTGCTTAATTGGCACTTTTTGTAGAAATTGGGTGAGCTCATGAGTGATTTCAAAAAGGAAACAAGCCATCATTATGCACAGTTAGGACTCGCTGACATACAATGAAATGATTCAGGTTTGTCTGCCTGGTTGAAGAATGAACTAGATATTTGCTCATGTAATTTTTGTTTTGTTTTTTTTCTGTCTCTACCCCTCCATTGCCTTCCAGACTCTGATTGCACCTGCTCCATTTGCAGATGAAATAAGCTGTCAGTGCCAAGCCCCACATGAGAAACTAACCATCACTCAGGCCCGCCTGGGAACACCAGGTGAGTCTTGATTAATTGGACATCTTTGCTGACAGCAGCATTAACAGGACTAAGAGCAGCTTCCACAGACACAGACTTTCAGTTGTGAAAGTATTTCACTATTACAAAAGCACTCTTCAGTTGGGAGGAGGAGCAGCATATATTACCTGACTGGGGCTCAGGGAGGTGTAACAAAAGGATATTTATGTTTTCTTAGAGATACGGACCACACACTTTAATGTAGTTGTTAAATGTACAGTTTAATTTTTGAACAGTTATAAAAATGCTGAGCAGTGAGATTTGGACATAAGAGGTAACTCAGCAAATCTCAACACACAGGTTATTTGCATACTGAAATCATATGGGATACTGGCTAAAATGAGTGTTTTCCTCACATTTCGAAACACACTTCATGGCCTCTGCATCACAGCTGTGATATATCTCCTCTGACAGCACCACAGCTTATGAGTGTATATATGTACTCTGCCTGAGTACCTATATGGTGTGGTGAGAAATCACTTTTTCCTTTCTGACATTACAATAACAGTCAAGGCCTGCAGTGCAGGCAACACCATAGCATCAGGGCCCCCACAATGATAGTGTGATGTTTGGCGCCCATTCTCCAGTTCCAAATGGTGTGGGGTATGAGCGGATTCATGCTGACTGACTAATTACAGCCCTGGGGAATCAGGGAGCCTTTCCCTTTATTGAGACCCTGGGTGGCCACATTACAAGTTCCTCCCTCCACCTGTCTAAATGGAGATGTTGATCCACTATTTTTCTAACTCCCTTTGCATAACGCACAGACAAGTGTTAAACACTTCACCTGTTCCCTTCTAATCTGGTATCATGGCAGAGGAGTTTATGGTAGGTCATACTCTGGATCATGGACCTTTCAGATGGTGGGGAGAATCCCAACTGATGGTTTTACAGGGGCCCCCAAAAAGCTGCCGGTTACCCTGCTTTGAGGAAGCATCCCCATCTTCCCAGTGATTTTTCCAAGAAACATGGTTTTCTCCACATTTCACCTGAGTCATGGGAGATATGGTGATCCTGAGCAGTGACATGTCTTTCTGCTGCACGGCAGCAGCAGTTCTGGAGCTCAGAACCCCAGTCGTTTCTCTTTCAGTTATACAGGGACTGCCTATCTGTAGCCAAGTGGCCAGGCATGCCACTCAGTGAAGCAGGTCCTCTTTAGGCCTGCAGCCGACTGCCAGGGCATGATGAGTGGGGTGCAGGAAGAGATGGGTAGTAGGGAGCAAACAGGAGAAGGCAATAAGAATGGGAAAGATAGAAAGGTTAATCAGAAAGGAGAAGAGTCTGAGGGAAGAAGAAAGGTGTAGATGCAAGAGGAAACAAACATGGGTGTACAGCATTAATCTGAGGAAGAGAAAAAGGCAGGGAGCAGAGAAAAAAGTGAGATGACACAAATGGAGTGAGACAGGAAAAAGAGCTTTTTCCAAGTGAGAATTCAGGGAACAGGGAGGATAATAAAGAGGCCAACTTGAGGAGAACACAGTAAAGAGGATTCTGATGGGATGGGCCTCACCATTGCAGCACCCCCTGCTGGATGTTCCAGGGATCAGCTCTGCTAGCCAGGGTTCCCTCTTCTGGTGGCATCCCGCCGCAGTCACTTCTCCTCCAGGGATCCACATCACTCCCAGGACCAGGGCATTGTCTTTGTGACACAGTCCTCCAGCTGTGCCACACTCTGTACTCCACACTTCCGGGGGAATGTCGTAGTGTCTTAGTCTAGCCACTTCCTCAGTGGTAAGTGGGGGAAGGGGAGGGACTCATGCCTGCCCACTACTCGGGATCCCGGCCCAAGGACCCTGTAGATGGCCACTGCTTGCAGCACCCCCTCTTACTCCTCAGTAGATTTCCCTGGACCACTTCCCCACGTCCACAGCACCCTCTTTACCCTTGCCTCAGATCCCTGCAGCCCACAAGCAGCTGCCTTTAGCTCCCTGGGTCTCTGCCTGCAGCACTGCTCTGTCCAGGGTGCTTACTGCCTTCAGCCTGCAAGGCAGCCAGTCTACCTCCCTCCTCAAGCTCCAGGGAGTGACCAAAGCTGTTCTGCTGCCCTTCTTATATGGGCCAGCCCAGCCCTGATTGGCTGCTCCTCGCAACCCCTCTCTGATTTGCTGCCTCCTGCGCAGCCTCCCAAGGGCTCTATTAACCCCTTAGAGCCCAGTGTGGGACAGGTGCCCCATCACAAGGATGTAGAAGAGTAAGCTGAATAAAACATTTTAAATTTACCCACTGTAATTCTGCATATCTGAGGAGAAAAAAAACCCCACAACATTCTTACTAGAGGCTAAAACTGATCAGCTGGATTTACACATGACTCCTGTTAAAGCTGAAAATCATAAGAACATAAAAATGGCCATACTGGGTCAGACCAAAGGTCCATCTAGCCCAGTATCCTGTCTTCTGACAGTGGTCAATGCCAGGTGCCCCAGAGAGAAAGAACAGAACAGGTAATCATCAAGTGATCCATCCCCAGCTTCTGGCAAACAGAGGCTAGGGACACCATCCCTGCCCATCCTGGCTAATAGCCATTGATGGACCTGTCCTCCATGAACTTATCTAGTTCTTTTTTGAACCCTGTTGTAGTCTTGGCCTTCACAACATCCTCTGGCAAGGAGCTCCACAGGTCGACTGTGCATTGTGTGAAAAAATACTTCCTTTTGTTTGTTTTAAACCTGCTGCCTATTCATTTCATTTGGTGACCCCTAGCTCTTGTGTCATGAGAAGGAGTAAATAACACTTTCTTATTTACTTTCTCCACACTAGTCATGATTTTATAGTCCTCTATCATATCCCCCCCACCTCAGTCATCTCTTTTCCAAACTGAAAAGTCCCAGTCTTATTAATCGCTCCTCATATGGAAGTTGTTCCATACCCCTAATCATTTTTGTTGCCTTTTCTGAGCCTTTTCCAATTCCAGTCTGCACACAGTATTCAAGATGTGGATTTATATAGAGGCAATGTGATATTTTCTGTCTTATCTATCGCTTTCTGAATGATTCCCAACATTTTGTTCGCTTTTTTGACTGCCACTGCACATTGAGTGGATGTTTTCAGAGAACTATCCACAATGACTCCAAGATCTCTTTCTTGAGTGGTAACAGCTAATTTAGACCCATCATTTTATATGTATAGTTGGCAGGGCCAGCGCTTCCACTAGGCAACCCTAGGCGGTCGCCTAGGGCGGCAGGATTTGGGGGGCAGCATTTTGCCGCCCTCGGCGGAAATTCGGTGGCGGGGGGTCCTTCCGCTCCAGGTCTTCTGCGGAAATTCGGCGGCAGGTCCTTCACTCGCTCTGGGACCCGCCGCCAAAGTGCCCCGAAGACTCGGAGCAGAAGGACCCTCGCCGCCGAATGCTCAGAGGAGGAGCGCTGCCGCCTAGGGCGGCAGAAACCCTGGCGCCGCTCCTGGTAGTTGGGATTATGTTTTCCAATGTGCATTACTTTGCATCTATCAACATTGAATTTTGTCTGCCATTTTGTTGCCCAGTCACCCAGTTTTGAGAGATCCTTTTGTAGCTCTTCGCAGTCTGCCTGGGACTTAACTATCTTGAGCTATTTTGTATCATTTGCAAATTTTGCCACCTCACGGTTTATCCCTTTTTCCAGATCATTTATGAATATGTTGAATAGGCCTGATCCCAGTACAGACCCCTGGGGGACACCACTATTTACCGCTATCCACTCTGAAAACTGACCATTTATTCCTACCCTTTGTTTCCTGTTTTTTAGCCAGTCACCAATCCATGAGAGGACCCTCCCTCTTATCCCATGACAGCTTAATTTGCTTAAGAGCCTTTGGTGAGGGACCTTATCAAAGGCTTTCTGAAAATCTAAGTACACTATATCCACTGGATCCTCCTTGTCCACATGCTTGTTGACCCTCTCAAAAACCATGTTGATTCTTCCCCAACAAATTATGTTCATCTATGCATCTGACAATTTTGTTCTTTACTATAGTTTCAACCAGTTTGCCCAGTACTAAAGTCAGACTTACCGACCTGCAATTGCTGGGATCACCTCTGGAGCCCTTTTTAAAAGTTGTCATCACATTAGCTATCCTCCAGTCAAATCGTTGTTGTGTTTCTTTCCCCACAGTTGACAGACCAGTTAGAGTGTATGCAGATGGGATATTTGACCTCTTCCACTCCGGCCATGCTAGAGCTCTTATGCAAGCCAAAACTCTCTTCCCAAATAGCTACTTATTAGTAGGAGGTAAGAGCACATCTATTTACTGGATTTTTGCCTCTATTCTGAAGTAGCAGAGGAGCAGTATTGCCATGTTCTCAGCTGCAGCTGTTTATTCACTCTGACTTTGAGCACTACTTCCTGTTTTGATGGTATTTTACACCATAACAAATAGTCCATCTTAAAATTTTGTCAAACAAAGTAAGAATCAAGTCAAACTCTGTCCTCAGCTGCATATGCACAGTTCCCAGTCTAGTTAAACTGTCAACCATCAATCCCCACATAAAATTTGTGCTGCACCAGAGTCTGGTGTCACATGTCTCACTGTGTGCATCTTGTTGTCTTATTTCTTGTTGTGGAAATATTTATTTGGAGTTAAGATTTTTTTTTTTAAGTAATTCACTAAATAGATCTTATAAACAGGGCCAGCTCAAGGCACCAGCATCCCAAGCATGTGCTTGGAGTGGCACTTTTCAAGGGGCGGCACTCCGTTTTTTGATTTTGGGTTTTTTTTTGTTGCTTCAGCTTTTTTTTTTTTTTTTTTGCTTGGGGCGGCAAAAAACCTGGAGCCAGCCCTGCTTATAAATACATTGCAAACCAGTAGGCCCAGGAGAGTGTGGTAACCAGAAAGAAGCCCTTGGTGGCTGACAGGTGTGTACCATAAGTGGACAGGCACAATTAAAGGAAATACCTCTATTTTACATCTTTATTCAACCTCTATTTTACATCTTATTCAAAAGATGACACCTTCAGTAGAAGAGCATCCATTAGCACAGGGGTGGGTAAACTGCGGTCTGGGGGCTGCATCCGGCCCTTCAGATGTTTTAATCTGGCCCTCAAGCTCCTGCTGGGAAGCAGGGTCCAAGGCTTTCCCTGCTCTGGTGCTCCAGCCAGGGAGCGGGGTCCGGGGCTTGCCCCGCTCCATGTGTGCTGTGGCTCCTGGAAGCAGGAGCCTGGAAGCTGTCCCCTCTCCAGCTCCTACACGTAGAGGCAGCCAGGGGGCTCTGCACGCTGCCCCCGCCCCAAGCGCTGCCTCCGTAGCTCCCATTGGCCGGGAACCACAGCCAATGGGAGCTGCAAGGGCGGCGCCTGCGGATGGGGCAGCACGCAGAGCTGCCTGGCTACACCTCCGCATAGGAGCCAGAGGGAGGACATGCCGCTGCTTCTGGGAGCTGCTTGAAGTAAGTGCCGCTCGGAGCCTTTACCACCTCCCATGCCTCAATCCCCTGCCCCAGCCCTGACTCCCCTCCCACCCTCCAAACCCCTCGGTCCCAGCCCGGAGCACCCTCCTGCACCCCGAACCACACCCAGAGCCCCCGCCGGAGCCCCCCCCCCCCCCCCCCCGCACCGCAACCTCCTGCCCCAGCCTGGAGCCTCCTCCCGCACACTGAACTCCTCATTTCTGGCCCCACCGCAGAGCCCGCACCCCCAGCTGGATCCCTCACCCCCTCCCACACCCCAACCCCCAATTTCATGAGCATTCATAGCCCACCATACAATTTCCATACCCAGATGTGGCCCTTGGGTCAAAAAGTTTGCACACCCCTGCATTAGCACCACACTGGAGTGTTAGATCAGCACTGATACAGAGGGGAGCGTGTCCAGCTGCTGAGTCATCAATAACCCTTCCTGCAGCAGTAATAAGATTTAACATTTGTATAGTTCTTTACACCTTCAGAATGCTGTACAAACATTAACTAATCTACACAACAGCCCCAGGATATAGGCCTTATTTCCCAGCTTATTAAAAACCAGGATTAGAATATAAAATTTCCTGAGTCCACATCCTATGCAACATTCCTCCAGAGCACACTGCCTCTTACAATCCCACAACTGGGTTTTCATCAGAGATTTCCTGTTTGAATACGGATCAGGCCAAACCTCACATGCTATGAAATCTGCTAAATCCATAGCCCAGGCCACTATGACTGCACTTGTGTGTTATTAATTTGTGCTGGTTTCAATATAACTGTCCAACAGTGATTTAGAGATGTGTAAGCAAATTTCTGGAACTTTGCAGATCATTCCTCCTATTTAGCATGCACTTCTGGTCTCCGTTTCAAAGACAGAAAGAGGCACATCTTTATTTGGTTTGAAAATGGAATGTAACTCAACAAACAACTTTAAAATACGGATATTGATCAGAAAGTTCTTACCAACCAGATGTGCTAATTGTGCAAAGTTAACATAGAAATATTTTGTTGATTGTTCTTATGTCAGTTTGCAGTGATGATCTAACCCACAAGTTCAAAGGCTTCACGGTAATGAATGAAAACGAGCGGTATGAGGCACTCAGACACTGTCGCTACGTAGATGAAGTCATCAGAGATGCTCCATGGACGCTCACACCGGAGTTCCTAGAAAAACATAAGGTACCATTCTTCTCCAAACCCCATCCATTCCTTCTGTAAATTAACTGCTGGGAATACATAACAAGGATACGAGATTCTATTAGCTGGAATAAATTAAGTAATTCAACTCCCAACAGCCAATTATTACAAATCACCTGCCAGTTCTAAATCAGAAAACTTTCTGTTCTCTGGCTCTTTTTGATGTAAGTGGAAGTGGGCACATATTATGTTTTTTGGAGACTGACAAAGTACCAGCACGTCAATAATGCAAACTTAACTCATTGACCTGTGAACAGGACACTCTTCTCAGATCTCCTGCCTTTTGGAGCTAAGCATATATCAGGGATTTACATCATGAGACTTCCCATGGGTTAGAAAGTGACTAAGGATTAAAAATACCCACAACTTGCCAGGTACTCCCTTATTCAGAGGCACCCAGTTGTTATTTCATATAGTTAAAGTCTAACTCCCAAGGCTATAATATACATGAAGTGTATGTTATCTTCTTGATGCCATGGCAAGTGAGATCCACCAAATAAGTACTGTGACAGACCCAGACCAGTGGGGTACAGGAGTCTGGTAGAGGGCAAATATACTGGTCACTGGATGAGTAGTTTTCTGTTCCCTGAGTGACTAGAGAAGAGGCTGCACTAGAGTAATCAGGAACCTGCTAGAACCACTTAAGGCAGGCAGCCTAATTAGGACACCTGGAGCCAATTAAGAAGAAGCTGCTAGAATCAATTAAGGCAGGCTAATCAGGGCACCTGGGTTTTAAAAGGAGCTCACTTCAGTTTGTGGTGCAAGTGTGAGGAGCTGAGAGCAAGAGGTGCAAGGAGCTGAGAGTGAGAGGGTGTGCTACTGGATGACTGAGGAGCACAAGCGTTATCAGACACCAGGAGGAAGGTCCTGTGGTGAGAATAAGGAAGGTGTTTAGAGGAGGCCATGGGGAAGTAGCCCAGGGAGTTGTAGCTGTCATGCAGCAGTTACAGGAAGCACTATAGACAGCTGCAGTCCACAGGGCCCTGGGCTGGAACCCAGAGTAGAGGGCGGGCCCGGGTTCCTCCCAATTGACCTGGACTGTGGGTTCTTCCAGAGGGGAAGGTCTCTGGGCTGTTCCCCAACCCACATGGTGAATCTCTGAGGCAGGAAAATCCGCCAGTAAGCGCAGGACCCACCAAGATAGAGGAGGAACTTTGTCACAGTACTAAGAACAGAGTTAGCATTTTTTAGGATTTGGATCAAAGCAATAGGACAAGAGATCATGGTGGCATCCCTCATCTGGATTAAGCAAGTGGATAATGATTAGATAATTTTTGTTAGCCTAACGGTAACAAATAAGAATACTCTTTTGTGTTAATGTTCAGGGGCAGATATGAGGGACTAGTCTAGCAATAAACTACATATGACCATGTTTACACTACAAAATTAAGTCAATCTAATTTACGTCAGCATCCAGTAATTACACTGCTTGTGCGTTTCTACACTTTGCTCCTTCTGTCAGTGGTGTGCATCCTTACCAGGAGCACTTGAACCAATTGAACCGTCCGTGCGGGGCATTGTGGGGCAGCTTCTGAAAGCTAGCAACAGTCGATGTAACACCGTGTTTATACTGACACAGAATCATCCTAACTACATCGACACTGACCCTATGCCCCTCATGGAGGTGGAGCTATTAAGTCGGAATATCGGGCGAGTTACGTTGAGAGGAGCAAAATTTTAGCGTAGACACTTACAGTGTTGGGTTGATGTAAACTGCCTTGTAGAGACCTAACTCTGTAGGGTAGAGCAGTGCTCAGTCTCTCTTTAGGGAAAATCTGGGGCCCGGTTGCTTGGTGTGCTTGGGCTGATTTGCACAGGGGGATCTTCAGGTGGCATAGAGCTGCTAAAGAATCAGTTGCACCAGGGTCATCATTTGCTATGGGGTAAGGAGGGCAACTGCTCTCCTCGACCTTGGTTTGATCTCCTCAAACTTTTCATAGCTCTGAGCTCCACTTTTGTTTTCCATCCCCCCAGATTTTGCAGGATATAATACAACCACATATAATCTTCTATATACTGACAGAACTTGTCCCCCTGCCCCTGAATTTTTCTGAAATGATGAAATGTCCCTGAACTGCACCCACAAAATGCAGGTTCAGAAAGGGGGAATGGACTTTAACAATCTGGTCCATACATACTGACTAAAGTCCTGCTCCTGCTGCTCCCACCGAATAAGGGCAAATCTCCCAATGATTTCAGTGAATGCCATCATCAGCCAAAAGTATGTACGTGTGCCACTGTCCTCTAATGGATAGAACTTCAGACCTGGTGAAGTGCACCCTACTGACTGCCCTATAGTGTGTATATAAACCCAAATGCAGCTACAGCTCACTGGAATTTACTTTAGCTCAAATGAAATAGTTCTTTGTAATGAATCTATGGTTTGATAGTTTCTAAATAAACAAAACGCATACACACAAATATGGGAAGCTGGGAATAGAAACCCTGCTCCTTCAGTTTTAAAAGTCAACTGTCTGCCACTTGAGTTAAAGGAGATCTCCTGTAGGTAACAGTAGCAGCAGTAGGTCCCTTATCCTTTGTGCATAGAGGACAACATCACACACAAAGCAAGGGTATGTTATACCTGTACTCTTGGAGCCAAAAGTCCTGAGTTCTACCATAATTCCACATGGTGTGCTCTGTTGCAGCCCCAGCCCTACTGCAATGTTTTAAATAGTACCTTTCAGATGAGACTTTCAAAGGCAGGCAGACGCAGTTCAGAAAAGAAACTGTCCTTCCAAAACCAATGCAGATTCTCTGATGGCTGCATCTGATTGTTTCTTCTCCTGTAACTTTTGCAGATTGATTTTGTAGCCCATGATGACATTCCATACTCTTCTGCTGGCTCAGATGATGTGTACAAGCACATAAAGGAAGCAGGTGAGAGCAATTTTCTGTTTTATCTCTCTCCATTTCAGCCTTTATTTAAAGCCCATCTATGTATGTTACCGCCTTGTAACCACACCCGCTGGAGGAGGGAAAACATTCCCGTCTGGCCTGTCAACATATAAGTGCTGCTGACTTCAGCAAAAAGGTTTGCATCTTGAAACCACCGGTGATGACCCGGGCTGGGTAAACAAAAATAGGTTACAACTGTAACCTTCCGGAAGCCATTCAGTTTGCCAGTAAACATTCCTGCTTGGATTACTGTTTTGATTTGCGGTGGTTCGTAAGCAGTATTGAAATGCTGCGAAAGGAGTTTACTTCCCATGTACCTATAGTACCATGGCCAACATTCAGGCACCTGTTTTCCCTGGGCTAAGGTGCAGCTCTGTTCTGACTCACAAGAGTGACTCCTGTTATGGGGAAAGCGTACGGTTAGCAATTAAAAATCATTAGGACCAGATATGCATTTACCCCAAAGCCCCGTTACATGACTCTGGCACTGCAACGGGGCCTTAAAGGAGTGTAATACGGCCTTAGGATAAGTGAGAAAGAAGCTCATTCATGTCTAACTTTGAGTGTGAGCCCCTCTTCTCATTCCCTCTCCAACCATAGTGTAGCTCAAACATATAAAACAGAAAGGAACCTTAATTTTAAATGGAGCAAATAGTAACCGTTCTTGCCACAGAGACAGCAGGCTTGATTCTCCACTGCCTTGCACCATTTACATCTGCGGGTGTAAAACACATTGCGGGTGTAAGTGAGTGGATTAATCTGATCTGGTGACACTTTTCAGCCACTTTGTACAGGCGTAAGGCAGTAAAGAATCAAGCTCTGCCTCTTCCTCAATGCCCATGGTAACAATTGAAACCAGCTGAGCATAGCTTTCATTCCTGAGGTGTGAGGATAGGAGTGTAGGTGTTCTCAGTGTAGAGTCCCAGAGCATGGAATTTGCTCCCTTCCTTGGTCTATCAGGGACTCAGTTTGGTGGCCTTAATGGAGTCTGTCAGGGCATGTTGTGACTGATCAGGGTTTGGTAGCTGTCTCCCACTAAATCAGTGCGCTAGGGTGACCAGACAGCAAGTGTGAGAAATCGGGATGGGGGTTGGGGGATAATAGGAGCCCATATAAAAAAAAGCCCCAAATATCGGGACTACCCCTATAAAATTGGGATATCTGGTCACCCTACAGTGCGCCCACCAGCTGTCCTGACGATATCCAGACCTCGACTACACTGTTCTCTTTGGGGCCACTGGTGGTTGTGCCATTGCAGTCCTCACCCCTCCTAAGGCCGACTTTTCACCACCAGGGCCTTGCTGCCATAGGTATAACCCAATATTGAATCAAGACCACTGCAGAATATAGTATTTTCTAATCTTGTTTTTCTTTTTCTTTTTTTTTTCTTGTTAACTGTTTAGTTTATGATAGATAGCTAATGAGTGAGTATGGATTTGTATGTGTATGCTGTTAATAATAATAATACATTACACAATGATATTATAGGCAGAACTGATAGCACCACCTACTATGAAGGTTGCCTGACACTTCCCATTATAAGACCATGGTTTTTGGTTGCTTTTTGTCAAACCGTAATCACATGCTGAAGCTTTCCATGCAAGGTATCCGCCTCAGGCTGAATTTTTTGAAACATTTCAGCCAAAACAGTTTGGCCTTTTCCAAGAAAAAGGCGAGGGAAATGCATGTTGTTTTGCCCATGTTAATAAATTCTGGTGACCGTTTCTTTGAGAAGCTCTTGTGCCCTTATACTTTGGAGCAAGGACTTGAAATCTGACACGCTGGGGAGTCTGGAAGCCTGGATTGCTAAGGAACGGAGAGCTGGGGCTCCCAGGCTCTTGGTTCCCTGTCAGTCCACCACATGGGCTGCTGAGGAGCCAGCGGGAGAGGTAGCAGGAAACCAGAAAGGTTCCAAAATCTGCCTGACAGGAAGCCTTCTGTTGGAAACCTGCCTGGTTTCTGGCAGAATTTCATAGGAATTGAACTATCTCCACGGAACGAGAGATCTGAATTAAGATTGAACAGACGACCTTAATTCTGGCATTTCCTAACTTTTAAGTGCTTGACTTTGACTTAACCTCAATACTGTTCTTTTTGCATAGTTTTGGTGAGCGTAGCATGTACAAACACGATGGGCCAGGTTTTCAGAAGAGCTCAGATCCCAGTCAGACACCTAAATGTCTAGCTGGATTTTCAAAAGTGCTGAACACTGAAGCGCTCCTACTAAGAGCAAGTTGAGCTCTTTTGAAAATCTGATCAATGTGCAGCATGGGCTGTAAGGAACATCAACTTTTATACAAGCCCCGAGTTTATTTTATTTCCCAGCAGTTTTCCCTCTCCTTTTCTTTAGGAAAAAGATATTTAAATATATTTCAAAAACTGTTTATTGCTCTAGTACCCAGCACCATAGCATCTAATTAGTACCCAGGTAAACTAGATCTGCATTGGGAGGTCCATATTGGACTGCCTCTACCCTAGGTATGTTCATCCAGAGCGTCTGCCATGGAATATAGGCAGAAAAGGCCTCAATTTCTATTACAAAAATCAGTAAGAGGAAAAAACAAATATAATTTTCAAGCCTTCTTTATGCATCAAAAAGCAACAAAAATAAAGAACACGAACCCAGTTTCCCCCCTTCACATGCCACCTTGAAGTCAGACAATTGACAGAATATTCCACCTGCCTTCTAAATGAAGGTTATCATGATAGGATGTTGCTCTTTTTCTACAGCCTACATCTATTTTAAAAAAAATTCAATTCTTTCAATGCCTTGCTGGCTTCTGTTACTGTTGTGATGCTCGGTGACTCACCTAGATCTGCTGTGTCTGCTCTCTTGCACCTATGTCTCCTCCATGTCAGACAAATGATTTGCCATGTGATCTGTGGGTTCCGAGGCAGTGGATCCAGTCCAACTCTGAAGTGAATGGGACTCTTTGTATTTGTCTTTAATGGGAGCTGGATTGGGCCCTGTGAGAAAAATGTAAACCATTGTGATGTCAAAAGCCTCTTTATCATGAGCAGCTATCATAACACAATGAACACTGCAGAAGAGGGAAGCAATTAAACCTTCCTCCCACAGCTCTCTGGAGCAGACTGTTTCAGGCACATGAGACTTTTCCCTCTTCCCAGCCTACATCAATGTGTGCACGTCTCTCTAGAATTTCCTAAGGCCTCAGAATCTACTATCTGGTAATTTGCAAGTGTTAAGTGAAACGCTCAAATTACCTTGTAGTGAGCTAAAAGCATGAGCCTCTATGATTGAGCTAAAGCCCCAGGCTGTCAAAATGGGCGATGTAACAGACTCGCAACCTCGGCGGATTGGGAACAGAGGAGAACACACAATATGCAGTGACCAATGTGTTAATTATGTGTTGATTCCTTGAGGAATTCACATTGTCAAAAATGAACAGATTAACGCCATATTAGTCAAACATTACAGTATCATTACTAATCAGTCTTTGGCAAGCGCTGACAGTGAGGGCTAATCTAGCAATTCTGGGGCTGCTGCATGGAGCCAGCTCTTACTTCTCCATTACTGTAAAACAAAGGTGTGACACTGAAGTTCTGACAAGAAATTGAAACTTCTTCACTTAAGTCACATAACCTAGGTTAGGTTTCAAAGGCCAGTCCCCCTCACAAAGGGTTGCTGGTACAATTGCGTACTGCACTCTTCCCCTATGACCTCAGGTAGCTTTCTCAGATACATTTGGTTAAAAAGGGAGCAGAAAAAGCCTTTATAATTTTTTTTTTTTTTTTACTGGCCATTATTTGTAGCTGGAATCAGTGCTGTGTCCATAGGTTTCTCAAGCACTCCACCTCTCCTGCTCCTGTGGCTGGCCCAGCTTGCAGATTTCATTTTACATTAAAATCTCATGTTGGCTCTGGCTAAGGGGTTTCGATGGATAATTGAAGTAAGCAGTTGTGTGTTAGGGATCTCTGACGGGATGGAGGGAGACGGAATCTGTTCCCCAAGACTGTGGAACATCATAGCTGAGTGAAGAGAGAACTGGATTGGGTTCTATTCCAAGCGCTACTACTGGCCTGGTGTGTGACCATGGGCAAGTCATTTCATCGTGCTGTGCCTCAGTTCCCACATGTGATACCTACCTCCTTTGTAAAATCCTTTGAGGTCTCCTTAGGTGATATCCTTGGCCACCATATGAAAGCATTATTACTGCAGTCAGTCCTCCCAGCCTGGGGGGTTTGGTCAATGAATCTGCATAGTTGTGAACCTACTCACTTCTCACTTTCCGTAGCCCCACCACCCCTTTCACATTGCCTCGTAAAGAGCTGTTGGGGAGCAGTGCTGTGTATGGGGATTGTATAGCCCTTTAATAGGTTCTTCACCCCCGCCCTCCCAGGTTTTCTGCAGCAAATTGGGTCTTCAACACCATGGACAGGAGGCTAGGTTTGACGCTGAAGAACAATAGCTGAAGAACAGGTGAGGGGAATGGAAGAAAAGGAGACAACCAGATTTAATAGATGAGGAGAACCTTAATAGAAATGGACTGTATAGTTTTAAAGCAACTATGCAGTGGGCTCAGAAAAGCCTTAATTTTTTTTAATTGATGGTTTATAGAAATGCAATGGATCAGAAAGTTGTATTGAACCATGATTAATTTTATTTCTCACTTTTGCAAGGTTATCTGTCCTACATATGCCCCAGCCAGTCAGTAATATGACTTGTTTAGCTGGTGACAATTAAGACCATTCAGTAAATGACTAACCAGCATAAATTTCATGTTTTAAGAAAAGTAAGGTCTGATTTCTCCTTTCCCATCCACTCTTATCCTCACTGTGGATCTCTGGTGGATGTTTTGCACTTGATTCTTGCACCAAACTACCTTGGAAGCAATAGAAGGTTCACACACAAAATGATTACGGGACAGGTAACAGAGATTGACAGCAGGTAAAATCTGGTCGGAAGGGTGATTCTTGATCTTCTATTGTAAAGATAGCTTTGTTTAAGACTATAAAAAAATTTCAAGAAGCAACCGGCATGGAACTTGAAAGGAGGAACACAGGTTACAAGAGGGAGGGTTTGGAGGAAGTGCCAAGAAGTCAGTCTGTGCGCACCTGGCTAGAATGCTAGCTGCAGACGCAGCATGTCTGCAAATAGTTCCCTTAATAAAGAGCCATTTTCATTTTAGAAACATAAACGTTGCTCTGCTACCAATATTACATGCCAGGATCTGTTTGTGAAACTGGCTAAAAATGCAGTTTAAGCTAAAACAATTGTAAGCCAGTATTTTTTCAGGCATTCGCTTAGCTCCAACGTGTGCTTAGATATGTTTTACTGCTTCCCATAAAAGCTTCCTTAGCAACTGCTGCAATTCTGAAAAGCATGCTAGGGAGAGTATTGTGACAATGATTAAAACTGCTTAGCAGAATATTAATTAGAATATAGAGGGGGGAAATGATGTGTTTAGCATTAAATCACAAGAGGCTGTTGCCTCTTGATTCCCTCCCTGAACCCTGTGAAATTGGGCTAACAACGCTTACTTTACTCACAGGGGCATTGTGAGGATTAATTAGTTAATATTTGTACAATCCTTTAAGACATTAAGTAGTAAGTACTATTATTTCACAAGACTATTTCCAATCCAGCCTCACAACTCCGTATCATCTGCAGTTTCATATATAAACTATTAAACAAATGCTTGGATATGGAGCCTTATTTGGCTTGTTTGGACATGGTTTCTCTATTGGCCCTCAAAGTGGGTGCCCTTTGCATTTCTATCTGGTCTACATAAGTCTGGGCCAGACAATGCCCTGAGGTTCTCCTCCCTTTATTATTTCATATTTTACATATCCGTCCATCTCTATGACACTCCAAGTTGAAGGAGGGAGAACAGTGTTTTCTCAGCATAATGCCACTATGGGCTGTGAATCATTCATCAACAGTGCCTTTAAACTGCTCTCCCTTCCAAGTGGAACTATGAAACCTGACCTTCGCTGGCCCGAGACTCATGCAGTGGGTGGCCTAACCTCAATCTCCATTACCTACTTAGGTCATTACTAAGGCTGTGGATTAATCGCAGTTAACTCACACTGAACTATCAAAGCCATTACTCTTCTTCCAGGTTGACCAGTAGAATTATTTTATGCAAACTAGTTTGCCCATCCCTAGTAGAGAGCTTGGAATGCTTAACACAGTCATCTCTACTTCATAAGCCAGACGCTGGCTCTGGGAGTTGAGTTTTCTTCTTTGCATGGTGTGCATTATTTCACTGAATGCTGTACAGAAGATGTATTCATGGTTACTGCTAATATTGCTTCTGCCTCTGGCTTTATTTAACAGTACACCGGGGCTAATCTTAATGGCAAGCAGTTAAAAACTAGTCAAATATTTTGAGGAAATAAGCTAGTAATAATAATAAGTAGCCCTCTTCACCATCCCGGTTGTACTTCCTCTTCCTGTGAAAGAGTACAAGCAAACAACACTTCCTTTGTACTCCCCCTTCAGTGTAATGAAGAATCTCCGCTATACGAGAGAGTCAAAGAGCCCAAGGGAATGAGAATAGCAATATAGAATAAAATATAAGATCTAAAGATCTTATAATGCCACAGACAGCCAACTAAACCTCACAATAACACTGGATGCTGGCAAATATTATCCAAGTTTTACGGGCTGAAAAAATGAAGCACAAGGCAACTAAATGACTTCTCCAAGGTCATACAGGAAACCAGTGGCAGACCCAGGATTAGAACACATGGGTGAAATCCTGGGCCCATTGAAATTAATGGCAAAACTCCCACTAGCTTCAGAATTTCACTGGATATCTCTCAGTTCCCAGTTACACACCTTAATCACAGGAGCATTCATGCTAAAACATGCATCCCTGCCTAACTGCTGTGATATCTCGTCATGTCACTCGTCTCTCTTTGCTTTCCACTTTCACCAGGAATGTTTGTGCCAACACAGAGAACTGAAGGTATCTCAACATCAGACATCATTACTAGAATTGTACGAGACTATGATGTCTATGCTCGACGCAACCTCCAAAGAGGATATACCGCCAAAGAGCTGAATGTTAGTTTTATAAATGTAAGTAAGCACATCTTCTCTTCTCCCTCTTCTGATAGGGTTTCCATTAGAAGCCCAACCTTGGAGTAGGGGTTAAGATACGCTAATTTTCTCTTGTGCTTTTGAAATGGGGAATGGAACAGGGCAGGAGTTGGTTAAAACTAACTGAGAAAAATGAACATTGGTGGGTTTATTTAGGGATTTATTTTTAAGAAGTCCTGGCAAGTATCAGCTTCACATATACCATTTGGCATTGTTCTTGGAAACTGTAGCTCTTTAAGTAAAGCCAATGCTCCCAATTTCCCAAACTACTGCATACTTCTCATGGAGCTGCTGCTAATTTAATAACACTACCGCTAAAAAAAGCTGCCAATCATGTAAGGAAGACAGTCACAGTCTCTCCAAAAAGCAGCCTGCAGTTTGACTTTGTTTCCTTATTGTTGCTGTGATGTGGCCAAATGCCAGAGATCAGAAGGAAAAGGCATAGAAAGCACAAGCGTCATTATCAATTTCCTTCCTCTACAAAGCAATTACATTAAAAAAAAAAAAGATGTTAAAGTAAGCTTAAAGAGTCCAGTGTAAGCCCGGGGGGAGGGAGGGAAATATCATTGGTGAGCCACTGTTTTGACAGGTATTGCAGAAGTCGGAGAGCAGTGTGTCAAGTCATATAACATGTGTCACAAAACCTAAGCAGAACAGAATGAATTAGAGAGCCAGTATAAAAGCTCAGAGGTTGCTGAGGATTGCTCTGGAGGATGCAGTATTTCAAATTAAGCAGCTTCTAATGACAGAACTCTCTGCACTGTCCAGGAGAAGGGTAAAGATGTGAAAGAAACATACGTTTTCCTTCCTCCATTTTCTCTTTCAAGGCTTAGCAGCATATCCCCGTGAAAGTGACAATGCTGAAATGCTCCTCTGCACTGTGCCATATTACATTGTGAATGACTATAGCTAATCAATGAGGAAAAATTTTAAAGGAAGGACAATGCACCATAAAATGTACCTTTCCCATTTATTTGCTATGTGCAGGATAGTTGTATTTATTTCATTAGCCCTCACTTTAGCACTTTGCTATAAAGAGAAACACTTAAGCAGATATCTAGCCAATTTTGATAAAAAATGAGTCAAAAGTATTGTCAAGTCTTACACCTGTCCCTGAGTCCCCCTGCCAATTTTTGTGAGATTGCAATTATATTTTCCTACTTTTTCTTTAATACTCTATTCCCCCTTTTGCTGTATCAAAGAGCCATATGAACAACAGGGGAAACTGTAAATAAAGTGCTATCAGGTCACAAAGTAGGCAACGGGGGAGAAAGATTTTTCTCCCTCCAAATTTTCATTTCCAGTAATCTGAAGTGTTACTTGTTCTGACAGCAAACAAACTTATTTCAGACAGACATGTCATTTTGAAGAGGACAGTGCCCCCTTAAATATTTTCTAAGCAATGAGGACGGACTGTGTGTGTTGGATTAGACCCTGGGACTTGCAATGGGAGTTAGGCATCTATTTCGATTAGGCATTTTGATAAGTCCCACTCAGTGTCAGGGCTTGCCAGGACTGAGCCCCGGCATCTCTCGGCTTGGTGGTTCATAGCCCCAGCACCTCTGGGCTTGCCACGTTAGTAAAAAGTAAAAAAACTGCTTGAGCCCCGGCACCTCTTTCATTACAAATTAAGCACTGGTCCCACTAGATGCCTGTCTGTCTCTTTAGGCACCTAAGTACCTTTGTAAATCTGGCCCTTTCTCAAGCCAAGAAATGACAGGCTGAGTGGCACAATTCTCCCATACTTGAGACAGAATAAATCAGACAGTCTATAGTTTTTGTGTGTGTGTGTGTGTGTGTGTGTGTGTGTGTGTGTGTGTGTGTGT